AGAAAATGCGCCTTGAGGCATGGAACATATGTACCAAATATGCCAAAGATGTCTACAAAATTATCTCAGTTATTATTAAGAAACTGATTATTTTTGAAAACTTTGCCACCCTGTATCTCAAAAGTTAAGGCGTTTAGGACATACGTCCATAGGACGTTTTTTCCTTAAAATGGGTCTAAGAATTACCTCCTTAAATATTAGCATGTGTTTAAGGAACACCCTGTATACATTGTTAAAAAATTAATTTGTGTGAATGAATTCTTAATGATTTTTGGACTTTGTATTCTATTACTGGTCATCAATGAAAAATAATATTTTTGGTCAAAAATAAAGAAGAAACTCTACTGGAAACCACCCTTTCGGTTTTCTACTTCTCAGTCATTATATAGAAGGTGGGAAACTTTCAAGAAAAGGAGGAAAAAAACAAATACATCAATTAAGAAAGATGTGTGGGTCATGCATAGAAGTCTCTTTCATATCATACCGGAAGAAAACATTCATCCGAAACAACTATTTTCTGAGATCACTGAATTGAAAAAAAAAACTTTTCGTCAAACATCCCCAATGGAATTGAAATAGATATCGTGCAATGAAACGCTACACAACGTAATATATGAAAAGGTATTAATAAAACATTTTACTCATGAGGAAAACTATTACTACTGAAAAAATTCAAATATTCTTTTCAGTTTTGATAAGATTTGGGGATACTTTATTTTCAAAATAAAAATATATGTGTGTCATATTATATAGTTTGATTTAGCAGTTATTCAAATAAAAATGATAGTTTTAATGAAAAAAAAAACATATGAAATCATTTTTTTACAGTCTGCATCTATATACTTCAAATGCCTTATTTTGCAATGTTTCAATGAATGTTGTTGCAAGATCTGTGATCAAAAGTTATGATATGTTTTCGATATATTACTGAGTATACTATAAATACTCAATTATCAAAACCCCTTTTTTTGTTCAAAATTGGCTTTATTTATTAACGTAATCTCTATCAATAGCCACACAATCATTCCAACACCGTTCTAACATTTGTAGAACGATTTATTTTTTGCTCCAACCACTAGGCCTCAGTTTCAGCAATAACCTCTTCATTCGAGGGAATTTTTTTACCGGTGAGCATTGTTTTGAGGTCTGCGAATAGCCTGTAGTCGCTGGGAGCCAAATCTGGCGAATATGGTATAAGTATGCGGGAGCAATTCGAAGCTCATTTTGCCATCGTTTTCATTTATTTGTGACATAGTGAACTTACTGGTGTAAGTTCTATGCGCGGCCGAACTACAGCGCAACCGACTGAATCTGAGGCGTACCAAGCGAGCCAAATTGAGGCATGGAATATTATTACAGAACGAGTCGTTGTAAGAGGTGGTTTTGTATTTGTGGAAAATGTGTGTCTAGTTTCAAAATGAACAAGTGTCGAGCTGTGGGTTGCTGTAATTTGCAGGATGATGTCAGATTCATTTTTTTCGATTTCCAGTTGACGAAAAAAGATCTCGAAGTGACTGTAGAGCATATTTGTAGAGCCATATTTCTTTGTTGATGAGAAAAAAATATTTCACTTTTTTGATAATCCTCATTTGCTGAAATGTAGCAGAAACCATTTTTTGATGACTTTTTGAAATTTGATGAATATATAACGAACAAGAGTCATCTTGAACAACTTTCAAACTTGGATGAGGAAAAGCAATATAGACTAGCACCCAAACTAACTGATTCTCATTTATTTCCAACTAACTTTCAAAGGATGAAGGTTAAATTAGCCAGTCAAGTTTTCAGTCATTCGGTAGCTACAGCGATGAATACCTATGAGAGTTTCAATCAGATACCATCAGCAGCAATATGAACGGCTGCATTCATTGAAAAAATGGATAAAGTGTTTCATATTTGGAATTCAAAACGATTCGACGATGTCAAACATTTCAAAAAGCCTTTTTTCGGAACATCAAAACAAATTGATTTTTTGAAAGAAATGAAAATATTTTTCAGCAAATTAACTGTAATATCAAAAAAAGGAAAAACATGACTGGACAAATGAGATTCATTGAGGGGTGGCAGATAACAATTTCGGCATTTCTGCAACTTTGGGAAAACCTACATAGTGAAGGACACTCCTACATATTGACGAGGAATATAAATCAGGACTGTGTGGAAAATTATTTTGGTCAACTTAGAAATACTTGTGGAAATGCCAGAAAACTAACTCCAGGGCTTTCAAAAACACATTTACTCTTCAGTATTTACCACAAGCAGAAGATACTAGTGAGATTATATCTAGTATTACAGATGCAGGCATAAATAGAATGAAGATTCTTGTAGAAGTTCTAAAAAAATCCGAATAAACCTTTGAGAGTAGAGACAAATGATTATAGAACTCTAGCCACTCCAGAAGGCAACAGCTTGGGCTATGTTTGTGGATATCTTTTGAGAAAATGTTTAAGAAAACATTCATGTGAAGTATGTATAGATTTTGCCACGGCGGCTAGTACCACACTGAATGAAACAAATGTATATAGTCATTTCAAAGCATATAGTAATGCAGTAGCCAAACCGTTTGTAAGTTTGTATATGCCTCCAGATACATTTTTACAATGTATCATTCATCTAGAGACAGAATTTTCCTAAACAGTTCACAATCATATGAGACATTTATTGGGAGCTTCTCGTAGCAATGATGAAGTCAGATGCAATAAGACTAGCGCCATCTATATGTTAGGCCCTAGACTTTTTAGCCCATGTAGTAAAGTTGACAATTTAATCATTTGAATTTTGACTCATATGCTAATAGGAGTGATCTAGCATAAATATTGAATACTTCCGATAGAAAATCTAGAAATATGTAATAGAATTGGCCGATACTAGATGAATATTCATAACGTATTCAAGTAAGACTTCATCATGAGATTTATACTCAACCCGCAAAACCGCAACACGTTTCTCTCTATACAGTAGCTTTTTCAGGCGTGTTCATACTCATTAAATATTAACTAACTAGTGTTAGTCAGTATGAACATACCTGAAGAAGCTAATATAGAAAAACACGTGTTGAGGTTTTGTTAACTGTTCAGTGAGAATCTTACAAAAAAGTGTCATTTGAATAATTTTATATTTTCACTTATATGGAAAGTAAGTACCTAAGTAATTATCCGAAAGAAAGTATGAAGTTACTATTATTCACATTCGCTTGAAAAAGTTGATATTTTGAATGAAAATTTAGAACATTCACAAGAAAGGTTGTCTGGTCGCGATTTTACTTATCTCTCGAACACATGTAAACACTAGTAAGAAAATATTCACCTGAACTTCTCATGAGCTTGTCAAAAGACCTGCCCCAGCTTCGTATTTCTTCAAGAGACGGACTGAAACGAATAATAGATTTCAATAAAATAAAATCAACACAAACAGGAGAGTTACTCACAGCGGTTCAGCCTCGCAATTTGCCCTCATGTCTGAGTTATTTGAGTTTTTAGTAGGGCCGTTTTCGTCGTTTGATTTTCCGCCAGGATTAGAACTGTAACAAAGAAATAGCAAGATTAGGAAAATTTATGGAGCCTTCCTCTGAGAAAACGTTATCTTAGGGTCGCCATAAACGCAAATCCAGTTCATTTTAGACACACGCTCGTAAGTCAAATATCATAAATGTATCACCAGTACGATTAGTAGACCGCAACAGTGCTGTCTGTTATTGGAGCATGGTTGTGGTGGTGATTTTGTGTTCTAGTTTCATCTAGTTGCCGTCTTACAGACAAAGATTCGGGAAAGCAAAAAGCGATTCCGCATTTGACGGTTTTTCATGACACTAGGGATGTCACCAGGAAACGAATTCATTGTTTAATCAAGTTTTTTATAAAAAAATAGTGATTGATAAACTGGAAAGTATCAAAGAAGGTGTGAAATTGGGGTGATGACTACTCGTCATGTTCTGTAGATTGTATTGTGCAAAAAAGAAGCTGAAAAGTTACAAGTTTTTTGGAATTTTGGAGGGCTGTAATTCTGGAAAAGCGAGACGGCACTGATTTTTCTAATTCATATAAATTTTTTTTCAAAATCGGCTGGTGCAGCCAATCCGAAATCTCACCTATTCTTACACCTAACCGATTACTAGCGAAAGACCAACGTTGGAGACTAGTAAATGTATAATTTTCATAATTCTCTATATTCTCGATAAAAAAACTCGCCTGGAACGCTGACGTGAAAAAGGTTTCACACAAAGCCAAACTGCCCCTATAGAAGGATCTGGTGCTTCGGGTCTGTTGATATATGTGATGATTGCCAGATCAATGATCGCGTATCTACGTGAGAGAAAGGCTTGTTCAGCTCTATCCAGTGACATCTGCACAAAACCAGCTATGAAGATTTTCCTAGACCTACTTCCTCTTGATAGAGAAAGCCAAGATGGTCAACAAACAGAATTGTGCATATTGCCAATTACATAAAACGATTTGCTTTATATAGTCGTAATCCTGAAAAAGGGAATACAGAAAGCAAATATCTGTTAGTTCATAGATGGATTCAAAATACCTTCAGATTCTGGCGCAGGTCTACATAGACGCAGACGTAGGACAGTCTTCAACGTGACTAAAAACATATGCGACCGTTTTTCAGGCGTGGAAATCTACTCCCTTGATTTATGTGTGGAGAAATTTGCGAAAACCAACCTCAAACATGAATCAATTGAAATATTCTTGGCCACATTGTCCTGAAGGGTAACGCAACTACTGACTCTTTCCAAAGATAAAGACTAGAATCTGTCACTGCCATCGCTCTGGGTTGCAAGACGAGTTCCAGACTTCTGGCAAAATCTAGTAGGGTTGGCTAATTGGCTTCGTTAGGAAGCTGGACTTACTAAGGGAAATTTTAGTTAGTGTGAGCCACAATCAACCCTCGCGGGTTGTAAATGAGGGTCTTATAGTCACACTCACCTTGAATCAAATATAACCTAGTACATATTCGTTGACTATATTAGATGCACTGAATTCATGATCAAACACCAAAAACACCCAATAAGCCTTTCACGTCATGATGAACCCGTCAAACTTCAGATGGAGATGTTCTACTGAACACTAAGCAGCACGACCTTGACAGGATATCAATACTAATGGCTATAGCTAATGGCACTTATGGTGAATATAATGAAGGGTTTTCGGGAAACATAAACTGTCATGACTCATCCCATAAGTTGTTGATAACTATCGTTTGCTATTATTGTGGAATTTTGCAGGAAAGATATTTATGACTTATGGACATCCTCAGAAACAAAGATAGTAAAGCAAAGCTTTCTGAAGAAGGTTTCAATAGTCAGATATCAAAGTTTCGAAAAAATTGAAAGCAATATTCGATGGTTGTTACATCACTCGCGCCAGATCTTAAAAAAAACCAGAAGCATTTCTTACTTAAGCCGAGGCCGTAATCTTTATGAGGCAGGAAGAGTGTTCTATCTTGGGAAATTGTCAACCACCTCAAACTTAGGGAATTAGTTGAAAAGTTTTAAACAACTGGAAGTGTAGCTAGAGCTAGACGAGCTGGAAAAAAAAACTAGAAATCCTTGCGTCTGCAGTCCACGACAACATTTGCTCTTGAGAATGATTTCTCAACAACCTGCGTCAAGAAAGATCTCAGAAGACATAAGTTCCATCCCTATATATGAATTAAATGACTCTGACAGAAGAATGCAATTTTGTGACATGATGTCCGGTCGTTTGCTTGTTGATAAAAACTGCATTTGTTTTGGAAAACCCACATATTTTCCGAGAAGGTCACACTCAAACTCCTGAGAAAATTAATATCTGGGCAGGATTATTGGTAAATCATATTGTTGGTCCCATATATTTATTTATACAAAAATCTGACTAGTGATTTATATTTGGAGAATCTTCAAAATTTCATTCACCTACGGATTCAAGGAATTGTGACCAACAATCAAGATTAATTCGAAAATCCAGTTGTTTTCCAACAAGATGATGTGCCTCCACATTGTTTCAGGTCTGTAACGGTTTGAATGGATCAGACATACCCAGGCAGGTGGATTGGTAGGCGCGGTCCGTTGGAATGACCTGCTCGCTCACTGGATTTCACCGGATGTCCTTGAAGTTAACACTTGTCTATTGCAAAAAATTAAAATGATTTATTTACCCTTTCCAATGGACATTTATTTGAAAAATCTGGCAAGGGGTGGCGGGCTTACGAAATTCCTAGTCCCAAATTCAACCGGTTATCGAAATTGAAAAAGTATAGAGAATTGAAATACCATTCCTATGAAATTCACCACCTTTCCACTCGAGAGAAAAAACGTTGATAGCGCTCTCTCGGCTTCAATTGATGTCCCATTATTGGCTTTTTTATTGAAAAGTAATTTTTACAAAAATTTTGTGCAACTCTGATATCTTACTCCGTTCGGAAGTTATGAGGGGGGGGCTGACTGTTTAAGTCCGCACTGTTTGATTATCGCTTAACCAAAGAAAGGAATTAGCCTGGTCGGCCACATAAATACTATCGAATGAACATACCAGGGACACTTGCAGCAACAACACCAAAGTAGACAACAGGGCTTGGATCGAAGCGGAGGTCCTTGGACACCTGATTGGGGGCCGTTTTGTGGAGCATTGGAGATCGGTATGCTCCCCCTTGAATTTGGTGATGTTGCTATACTTGCGTTACTGGTGCTGGTTCCACGCAGTCTACATCCCGAAGCTGTAACGGTCACTGTTGTCCCAGCAGGACCTGCTCCACCTTGAGGACCCCCCACTGCCGCTCTGTTGTCTGTTACCCGCTCAGTAACGCTACAAGACATCTGCAAACAAAAATAATGCTAGATTTATCTGCAAATGCTTTCAACAGTGACGATATATGTAGTCATGATTATTTTTTTAGCTGGGCATTTTTATCTACAACAATAATAAAAACAATAATAAGAGTATGCACTCGATTTTCAGCTCGCTCAGCAATTGTGGTATAATATTTCTCAGATCTGTTGAGCATTCAAGGCGGGTTTGTACGTTGCGACAAAACGTAATGACTTGCCTGTAACTACAAAACGTTGCAGACAAGTCATAGCGTGGCATAGGTTGGTGCAAATTACCAACAATTTCTGGAAATCATAGTGATAAGTCGTTGCATGTAGACGACACTCCGACATATCACTGCGATTGTAGAGTCCACGTTAATTCTACCTGTTCTCTATTTGTTGTGAAATTTCACTGTTTTCTATAGTGTAATTATTTTTTGTGGTGTAACTAACATGTCGAACCTGCGCTAAGCATCCCGATAATTTTTAACAGGGTTTATAGAATTGTACAAAAGTTGTTCATTTTTGTGGTGCGTAAAAAGTGAAGACTATTCTGGCAGAAATGAGAAAGATCAATTATATCAATCAACACAACCAACAACTTCAACTGAAGCTAGAGGCAAAGAGACTTATCGCTTCAGACAAGTCATTACGTTTTGTCGCACTCAGTAAACCCGCCTTTACATATAAGCATGTGTTACTGTTATGACACATATATAATGGAAGTGTAATATATTTGTACAAATAAATTGATGACAACGCATTACATATTAAAATGGTTTAGGACGCCAAACGACTGATATCTGAACGTTGAAATATAATAATAGAGATGAAGTGATATTTCAAAACTACTAGATATGAATTCTCTGATTCTCTGAATTATGCAGGTACATATACAGAATGGCACATCAAAAATGTACCGCAAGGAAAATTGTCAAGGAAAAAGGGTATCAAGTAATATCTCATCAAGAAAGGGGATTAGATTCTCTATCCTTTTTGAAATGTTGAAATGTCTCTACACGCCACCCTAAAATTTTTCCATACCCAACCATACAAGCAGTCTTGTCTGGGAGACCACGTGCACTATGCATGATAATGTTTTGAAGCACTCTGTTGCTTAGATGGATAGAGTATAGTTCATGTGGAAAGATATTTGTCCATAAGCAACCGGCTAGCCACATGACTGACTAATGTTATGTCACCTAACATTATCATTATGAATAATATTTATTAAAAAAACTGAGAAAGAATAAGTACACTGATACTGATAAAATCTATCATAGAAAAAATGAAATATTTATTATGAAAAGTGTTTCAATCCTTGTTGAGCTGAAATGAATCTAGAAGATTCATTTCGTTTTGAATATAAATCGGATAACAGTATTCTCTGCAATAAATTTAGATTGATTATACAGTATTCTCCTTCATAAAATTATATTATACGACAAAATTGAATTCGCAGGTGGAAAATAAACATTTATTAACGATGCAGCGTCAATAGTAAATTTTAATTGTCAAAGATTTGAATTGTCACATAAAGTTTTGCAACTCAACAACCCAGTTTACGATGGAGAAGGAAGGAGATATATGAATTGCTTTCCTGGATGTATTAGTGAAGAGACGGGAGAGTTGAGTGGTAACCCATCCAGACCGATATTTGAACAGGGACTACCATCTGCGACAGAAACTAAAGGTCATAAAGACTCTGGTAAAGATGTACAAGTATATGTGAAGCGTACCATAACCATTATACATTGCTGGTAATGGTATTTGTGTAGGACAGTATGTTAAACATATTTGGTAATAATTTCTGATATTTCTTGTTTTGTTCTAGAGAAAAACCCTCTATCTGTAGACAATCTTCATGACAATAATATGGGTAGTTTTTAATAGCAAAAACGATTTCGAGAAGAGTCAGCATGTCTTGTATTCAATAAACTATAGTTCAAAAAATGGTCTGAATGGACATGCGCCAATAGACACAAATAATCAGAAGAGTACTCCTACTAAACAAAACGGAAATGACGAAACGCTTCATGAAAAAGTGTAATAACTTTGTGCAACACATTGTGAAAAACTCATAAAAAATTACCAACAATAGTAAAGTGAAAATAATTGAATTGAACTGGCCGATACTTGATGAAAATCCTAGCCTTAATGATTAATGCCTGAGGAAGCTATTGTATAGCGAAACACGTGTCGCGGTTTTTGTTAAACCCTTTATAGTGAAAATCATTCAATAAACTGTATTAATGAGTTTCAAAGTGGCAATGTTACGTAACACTATACAAATACTATAACTGTTTTAATAATTTCTTTGCACTTCAGAATCAAGCTTTCCCTGTATAATAAGTAACGCCCAATAAAACATCCATGAAATATTTCGTAGTTTCTTACACTTTTGAAATCCATATTCCACACTTTCTGAGACCATGTTGGTTACCACTTTGCTGATTGGGGGTTTGCGGTTCGTTAGTTAACCTAAATACTATATATTAACAGCAGCAAGGACTGATATCTGTAGCTCAAGAGAATAGGCGTACCAGAAATTGGGACGATATCATCCGTAATTACAAGCTCTTACGTCATTGTCTAGGTAAGAATGTCATTAATTGTTGGAATTTTCCGAAACAGTATTATGGAAATGATCCTTTTGTTCTTCGACATGGGCTCTAAGATGATATTTTATGAATACTCTTGACATGTTCTCCACAAAAACCTTAAATTCAGTGTGTTACTTCAAATAGTTATTGTCATCGAAATTAGAAAATGCAGTTTTTCACAGTCACAGAAAAATAAGCAGCGTAGTATCTTTGACATTTTTTTGTAGTAGAAGAGGTACACTTCGATATTAAAAAATGAAATAAATACCACTTCTATTAGGCTTTTCGAGATAAATGAACCAAAAATGGCATTTACAAAAAACTATAAGAAGTATGTGGATTAGTAAAAACTTTCAATTTTCAAATTTTTATTCATTTATTAAGTGAACATTGCTTTTTTGTGGTCACTATCTGTCTGTCTCTCTGCGTGTCTGTTTAAAATCTGTTTTTTCCGTTAATCATACGAACGACAACTCTCAGAAGTTGAGAAACTTGGACTAAGGAACTAGCTACTAACTAAGGACTAACGAGGTCTTATCTTTTAACGTGTGATTCCTAAAACTATAATCAAGTTGTTCGTAAATATTCTCATAATGGCATCATATTGAATTTAGAGAACATGGCTCGTACGGCGTTATTTCTAAAAAAAACTGTTATCGTGTTACCTCGTTGAAAAGAGAGTTTCATATTCTATCAAATGGTCAAGAAATATAGTCCTATTTGAAATTCTTGACTTGGGTTCAATTCCGGTTAAACCTAAATAGGTTTTCAATGTTTTTTTTTCAAAATTCAGTCCTATTAGGTCTTTGAAATCATTACATTTCTGTAGGTCTGAATCTTGAATAGCATGTGGAAATTTATGAACGTTCTTGTTTCAGGTATAACTTTTCACTTCCCTACATTAAGTTTCAATTTATTACAGCTACACCAAGTAACAAGAAATTCCACGTGATGATGAAGATTTACATAATCACTAATATCATTGATTACAGGAAATAACTTTAAATTAACTGGAAAAAGTAGTGGTTCACATTTCAAACTGTCACATAAATCATTAATAAACATCGAAAAACAAAAGAGGGTCTAGATTGGAGCCCTGGGGAGCACCTGAAGTAACTTCATATGTTCTAGACTCGTAACCACTGTGAAAAATGAACTGCTTTCTTCCTGATGACTGTGAGAAAAGTCTTACTGACTTCAAAAGCACATTTTGACAGATCATCAGAGTTCAGAGTTGAAAGAAACGTCCATCTTGAAAAAAGTTCGGACATAGGTAAGTGATTTTCCGTTTAATATATTCAATGAAGCTGATTTCGAAATGCAAATTAAATCTATTTTGGATTGTGGATTCATTGAATTTGATCAATAAGAGTTAGAGAGGATTTCTCACATGAATTTCAAACTTTGCTACGAATTCCGAAGAGAAATGGAGTTGGCTCCGAAATATTTTCAATATGTTTTACGAATATGCCTTTCAAATTTCAAAAGGGTCATTTTTTCCAAGACGCCCTCATTGTAAACTTTTTGTACGCTACTGGACTATTTTCTTTCTTGAGGAGGAAGAATACTTTTCTTGATTTCCATCCATATTCAATAAACTTTTCATGTGGAAGGTGGAAAGTTTTCATGCCGACAAATATTCCGAAACCATTTCAGCCCTGCATCATTTGAAATTTGATGTTATTATTTCTATTCGCATTCCTCTTGGAATCCCTTTCATTCATTTCACGCTATTCAAGCACCCGCTTTTATCCACGGAATATCAACATCGAATGCTCCCGCGGTTGATACCATATTGACATTTCCTTCTCGTTTGTTTGCTTTACGTGTCGGTAACTGAAATAGACTAAGGCTGGCCACACACTTATAGAAATATTTTGGTTCGCGACGCGACGGTGCGCTATGTTTCACCGCGTAAAAAAGCGAACAGAGTTTTTGCTGCATGAAATATTATGAGTAATGTATACATTTTTGGGGTGCTGATTTTAGATCTAAAGTCAAACTTTTTGTACCAGCTTCAAACAATTGTTTTTATGAATGACAATCACAAGAGAAACAAGAACTATTTTTCAAAATATTTTCTCTTATAGGATTTTCTTGCTTGACTTGGTTCACAATGTTATTTTTATTGCTCCATCAGTAGTCCGCCATCTCAGTGACCCTGGTACCGCTCCTCTATATTTCGAATACCTTGATGGAACCATTCCCACTGTTTTTCACTCAGATCAGCAAGATTTTCAGGGAAATCTTGATACCCATTTCGCAACCAAGCTGCTGGAAGCGCGACAATATATTCTCAACATGCTCAGCATAGCTTTCATCCTTTTTGTTTCTCAGAAAATTTTGTGCAATCCAAACAAATTCATTCCAGGCATATCAGTCATATAACTGTAAAAGTTCTCA